GGGGGCGTAAATCCACCAACAACCTCAAAAACAGAGGCCAAAAGAGTTTAACTAAAGGGAGGATAGTTAACCACCAATAATTACGTCTCCACAGTTTAGGGGGGGGGCCCAAAATAACCCCCCGGGCCACCAAGTTGAAGGCTTTTTCCCCCCCCCCCCCCCCCCCCCAACCCCTGAATCCCATTTATATGAAGGAGTGATATTGATTATAAACTTTAACTTTAATCAAGTTCCAGATTAAAAAATCAGTAAAATACTAATAATCTTAGCCTGCGAAAACATCCGTTTCTCCTCTCTCTTGGCCGCTGGGGGCGTTTCGCACGGAAACGTCCCCAGCGGCGAAGAGCGAGGAGAAACGGATGTTTTCGCAGGCTATAATAATCTGAGGTAGGCCTCCTTGACATGATCGAACACGACTTCATAAGAACACTGGACTGACTCTCTACTTATCTATATATATTAAAAGTCTAGTATCCGTCTTCATATACAGTCGCAAGAAATGACACGTAGCTGGCAAAATCAAAGAGAAGTTATTTTTGATTTGCCCCACCCCCTACCCCCGGGACAGGATCGCTTCAAACAATCCCCCACTCCCGGGCCCGAAAAGTTGGACTTGTCCCGGGGGTTGCCTCGGGGGAAATGGTAACAGGTCAAATTGAACCATGCCTAACCGCCCTGGGAGGATCGACGTCTTTGGGGCCCCTTTTTACGTTATCCATCTTGACGATCAAATGTTAACAATTTTGACTCCGGCAACTTGCGTAAAGGGGAAGAGGTCTATCAAACTAAGGTTCGGTCAAACAGACAAAAGGAAAAAAAACTTGGCCAGAAAATTCGCGACTTCACTTTTTAAAGTGGCCTTTTCGTAGCCGTCGCCGTCGTTGTTGCTTAAGCCGCTCAATCAGAGGTTCGCCTTAAATTAGCATACTCGTTAGTAGAAACATTACTCCTTTTTAAAAAAAAACGTGTGGTGGGAGAAGCATTACTGGTCCACAATCAGTCGTCACCTTCTTTCTTGGACTGTGTTTTTCTTCGTCAGATTCTTGAATTAGTCAGTGACAGTTAGTCGGTAAACCAAGGTCGCAGATGTCTCTAATGATTTTGTTACCTCTGCGCCCTGCGTCACTAACGCATTAAAATCCCTTAAGGACACGAATCCAAGCGAGACTTGGATTGGGATTCAAGACCATGGATTGCAGATTCCAGGTACAGGATTCCGGATTCTTTTTCAGTGAATCTTGGATTCCGGATCCCAATTGTTAGTGGGATTCCGGATTCCTTGAGCTGTATTCCGGATTCCAAAACCAGGATTCCGCTTTTCACCGGCAAAAATTTCCTAGATTTCGGAATCCGGATTTCCTTACATGCCGAGGGTTTCACTTTAAAGAAGCATCTTATACTTATAAAACTTATACTAGCCTTTTGTCCTACTACCTTAGCACTTTTTCTCGTCTGATTCTTTAGAGAACCTTGAGACGTGATAGTTTATAACTGCTTGACCTTGAAGATATCCTCATAAGGAAATAGAAAAGAAAATATATGTGATCTTGAAATCTGTTATCAAAAGCGTAGTAATAGTAAATCAAAATGTGAGGCAAGATGAAAAAATTCACTGATTTAAAATAATAATAATAATAATAACTTTATTTGTATAGCGCCTATATACAAAAGCTCTATATCGCTTTACAATCAAAAAAGAAAATAACTAACTAACAATAACACTAAAACAAAAAGTCAAATGAAAGCGAGTCTAAAAAGATAAGTTTTCAATCTAGATTTAAAAACATCAACTGATCCACTTAATTTAATGTCTAAGGGAATATCATTCCATTGCTTTGGGGCAGCGACCGAAAAGGCCCTGTCCCCATAGCTCTTCAGGCGCACATTCGGTACTTCTAATAAATGTTTGCTAGCAGACCTAAGATTTCTTGTAGGGTTGTATGGGACTATAAGTTGACTTAAATACGGAGGCGCCAGATTATTGAGAGCTTTAAAAGTTAACAGTAATACTTTAAAGGTAATTCGCTGCTCCACAGGTAACCAGTGTAGCTCCTTAAGGACGGGGCGAATGTGCGCAGCCCTAGGTTGCCCAGCTACAAGGCGTGCAGCGCAGTTTTGAACGCGCTGGAGCTTCTGAATAATATACTCCGGTGACCCGAGGAGCAACGAGTTACAATTGTCCAGTCGACAAGTAACATAAGCATGGACAAG